GCTTTTTAAACCTAATCATGAAACATTCATCAATAATTTGATGTGCAAAATGTAATGTTGTCGACTGCGTGTTCTACGACTTTGTAATTTTGTGTTTTTATGATGTGAAGCACTTTGAAATGCCTTGTTGCTGAAAGGTGCTATACACATAAAATTTGATTGATTGATTTAACGTCAAGACAGTAAAGAAAATTTGAAAAAAATCTGTGCTTTTTATTTATTTATTTTTTTTAAATGGTGCATGTAAATTTCTGGTTTCATGTGTATGTTGAGACTGTGAAGCAGTTGCTCTCCCACACGGTGAGAACCCTGTATAATTATTACATACAGTGGATCACCCTTTGCTCTGTTACTAAAGTCCAACAGCCTGTAATGGGACAGGACTTTGTCACACTCCTCTTTAGCAGCGTCCACTGAAACGTGACAGCCTGTTTATCAAGAGCTCCTTCCTATCAGATCCTCAGGAGTCTGTCCGCAAAAAAAAAAAAAGGAAAAAAAAAACCGGAACACGTTGTCCCCAGGAAGTCAGGTTCCTTATTACAGCCAATAAGATAGTGAGCTTTATTGTAGTTTCGAGGCTACACATTAATCCACTTTGTTGAATCCTCCTCAGCCCATCATGTGATTACTTTAGTCATTACCAGTAGTGCAGTCATAATTACTCTGTAGTCTGTCAGGATATGTTGACAGGGGAAAATATGGCATCATGATTTATGCAAGAGGTCCCAATTCCAGTTTCAACCAGAAAAGGAGATGCATAAAAAATCACTATCACATGATTTTATATTAAAAAAAGAAACGCCGCACTCGCCTTGTTTCGTGAGCAAGCATGAAAGTGCACACGCGTGAAAGCTTGGGATTGCGAATGCATGTCCGAGTTTGCGTGTGTGCATCTGTGTGTGTGCATGTGTGTGCGAGCCGCATCCATGGAGACGTGTCTGACGGCTGCATGATTCACAGTGTCACAACTGTGAGCAGAAAGGACTGGACATCCTGAGCGGAAACCACAGCAATCGAAGCTGCGTTTCCCTGCGACATCCCAACCTAACACTCTCACAAAGAGTCACTTGACTGGACCCGCATATAGGAAGTGAAAGAGGAAGCCCCACTCGTCCATCCTGTCCTCCATCCCGATCTCTGCTCTGCCGCTTCACGTGAAACGCGCTTGTAGGCCCGCCGCAGAGGGTGTGAGAGCCTTACTGTTGCAAAACAAGAGTGGAAGAACCGGCTGAGGCTGGAAACGTTTTGCTGCTGAGGGTCAAATGTCTGGTCAGTTGACTTTTAGCCACACAAAGAGAGAGGGAGAGAGCGCGAGGGGGTCAGTGACTATCACTACTGTGAAAGCAGAATGTGGTGATTTGAATATCAAGTGGTAAAGGGTAAATGGGCTTATGTAGCACTTTATCAAGTCCAGAAGACCACAAACGCTTCACACTACATTCAGTCATTCACCCATTCACTTGCTGACGGTGGCAAGATACCGCCAGACTCTGCCCCAGGGCGGTCTGACAGAGGCGAAGCTGCCATGCACCGGCGCCACCGAGCCCTCTGACCATCAACAGCAGGCAAGATGGGTGAAGTGTCTAACCCCAAGGACACAACGACAAACAGACTGAGTCGGGCTGGGCAAACTCCTACCACCATCGCCACCGTCATCGGTGACGGCTGCTCAGTTAATCACATAACTCTGATCTCTAATGGAGCTCTTGAAGTTATGTCTTGCCCAAGGACACAATGACAGAGGCGGATGTAGTGGGGACTGAACCAGCAACTCAGATTTCGACACAAATTTCTACCATCTACCATTTTTGACATAGACGGTCGTCAACATCAAAAATGTCAATACAAGGGCTCTAAGAGCTTTAAGAAACAATACACACAAATTTGCTTTGTTTTTATATTGTTTCTGTTTATCTTGTAAAAATGTTAAAGTAATTTTGTAGAGACCTGTAAACTATCGAAATTCTCTGCCAGATTTTTTACAAAATAATTCCAAGAAAAAAAGCCTGCAAAAACACCTCAAGGTCAAAAGTTTGAGGACGCATCAAACGCAAATAACAAGTATTGGTATTGGCGATACAGGCCCTATATTTAGTTGGTATCGGATTGATACTGAAACACGCCGTATCGCACGCCTCCAGTCCAAACCCCTAGTGTTAAGGGGGCTGATAACGCAGCTGGAGGTGGTGAGTGGTGGTTGGCTGTGGGGTCGTTTGGCCCGGCTTTAACCCTGGTGGCTCGTGGCCTCTGGCTGTGTTCATTGGTGTTAGTGTGCACAGCCTGGCAGCCTGCATTCCTCTGCCTCTCCCCACACAATGCAGCATTCCTCTGTCTGTGTCCGCTGTCTGAGATGCGGCCGGGCCTCGGCGGACCACTGCTGCCCGGCCGAGTGGCTGGCATCACGCTCGGCTCAAAACTCAACTTTCTGGCCAACATGCAAAAGTAATGCTTGGCTGAAATCTAACACTGAATATCCCCCTAAACACACCGTCCGCAGTATGAAACATGATCATGGTGCCATCGTGCTGGGAGGATGCTTTTCTCCGTCATGGATATGGAAGCTGGTCAGAGTGGATTGGAAAATGTATGCAGGTAAATACAGGGAAGGTATGGAAGAAAACCAGTTAGAGCCATGAGTACGGTAAATGCATGTTTTAGAACGGCCCAGTCAAAGCCTAGACTTAAATCTGGATGAGATTCCTTGCAAAGACCGGAAGCACCGAAAATACGTCAAATCAGACTCAACTCGAGCCGTTTTATTTCTGCCGACGTGCAAAACTGGTGAAGATATACCCTCCGAAAACCTGCAGTTGTAACTGAGGGGGCCGATTACAAAAGCGTGCCACACTTTTCGCATTTTTTTAACCGCACAAAGGTTTTAAAGCCACCTATGATTTCCTTCCACTTCACGATTACGTGCTACTGTGTCTTGGTCAACTTCAACGGTAAAATCCATGGAAGTTGGTGCATGATTAAGGGACTAAAATGCGTAAAAGTCGAAGGGGTTTGAACACTTTTGAGAAGCACCGTAGTCTTGCCTCGTTTTGGTGCAGTTTTTCCCCTCCTTTCTTTGCCTCGCTCCTCTCTACAGAAGCATGTTTATCCTGGACCGTTTTCCCCTGCTCTCCAGTCGCCTTTCTCTTGTTCTGATGCCACAGCCGTGCAGACACCTATCCCTCCTGCTGACTCAGTAGCCAGCCTCAGGCACTGTGGGCTCGGGGTGTTGGTGGCAGCGAGGGAGGGAGGGAGGGGGAGGTGGAGGGAGAGAGGGAGGGAGGAGGAGAAGGGAGGGAGGGGAGAGCGAGGCTCCCACATCAGGTCCCACCAGCCTATCACGTGCGAGAGAAAAGAGCTGGCTAATCGTTTCTACAATGGCAAACTGTCACACAGCGCCACAAAACCGCTTTCCTCACCAACACTTCTACAGTATTATTCCACTGTTCCTTAGAAAGCCCCATGTGATGCGTTCAAGTGCGCAAGCACCCGATTGGGGGGGGGGGGACGGCGTGTTCAGAAAACCGCAGAGATACACCAAAATATGTGACTATGTGCACAGAGGCTTGCAAATTATTTTTGATTTTTCTCTACATTGCCAACGTGAAATCTAGAGTTTTGTTGATGCGTGTCAGACTGTCACTTTGCGGGACTTTTAGGTGCAATTTAGCTGAATTTAAAAGCAATTATGTAATTCACAATCAACCGGATAAAATTAAGTTTACGGCCTCTCAGTAAACAGCTACCTGAGTGGCTTTACAGGCGATAAATGAGGTTTAAAAGAGAGGCAGCAGACGCACATCGTTTGGTAGAATAGGTTTATGAACCTTCCTCTGGTCACGTTAAGATAAAGTTTCCTGGTGGTGTTTTCTGCTACGTCACAGCAAGCAGACCTTAGCGGATCAGGCCTGTTTTTTTTTTTTCTTTCTAGAAAAGTTGCTTCTGCAGAACTGCTTTCCGTTGAACGGAGAGATGAGCTAAGCGCCGTCCACGAGGGTCACGCGTGTTCCAGCAAATTCCTGTTAACTGAACCACCTTGCTCGCTCGCTCCCAGTTTGGCTCTCGCTGGCAGGAGAGGAGTTACAAAGTCTCCTGTGACAGCAAAAAAAAAAAAAAGAAAGGGAAAAAAAACACTCTCTAAGATTCTCATAGAGGAGGTTATAAACTCCCTTTTACAATGTGACCACTTATCAACCATTATCACCCTGGCCTTGGGACTATTACGGTCATCCAAATATTGTTGTAGTGTTGAACCGGGAATGATCTTCAGTCCGGAACTTTGCTGTTAAGTTTTCACACACACACACACACACACACTTGTTAAAAAAAAAGAGAAAAACAACAAAAAGACGTATCGAGTGAGAAAATTCCTCCAGAGCAGGGCCAGCTGCGCCGTGTGCTGCTTGTTTCTCTCTTCCTCTGATGATGAATGCAGAGGTGATGTGTTTGTCTGAGGAAGAGAGTCGAGGGGAAGCCTGATTTCCACTCTGTTTTATCTGTGCCCCGCAGCCCCCCACAGTCCCTCTTGCCCAATACCCCGCCGCGCTTTCACAGGCCCCGGGGTCCCACAGGAAGCAGCACTCTGCAAAGGCCAAAGGTCAGGGAATGACCGTTCACCGATACACAACGCCAAGCGGGTCCGCCGAACGACTTTGGCTCAAAAATAAAACTAAGAAGTGAGTTTCAGTGCAGGGAATTATTTTAAAGTAGCAGAATATTGAGGAAGCGACGTCTGCGCCGGCACACATCTGTTTCCTTTTCGTGTTTACGTGCGTCGTGCTGCGCTTTCCTGCTGCAAGCTCATTTATGCAGTATGGCTGGATCTTTCTCCTTTTTTTTCTTTGCTTTAGTCTAATTTAACATTATAAATATCACTAAGACAAAAGTGTTTGACAAGGTTCTTGTAAATATTAAGCGTTATCTAGAGATGCACCGATCAATCAGCCAGAACTTGAAAAGAGCCGATCAGCCGTGTTCACCAAACGGCGAATGAAAACACTGGAAAATCAGCTTTTCAGCCACGTTTACTGAAGGCACCGGCGTTCAAGCTTTCCCTACTTTCAGTCCATAAATGCATCCGTTAACGCTATCGTCTTTAATTGCACCTTTAATAAAAAGATTAGAGGTGAAAAGATTTGATACATGAATGGAGATAATCTTGTGACAAAAAAATAAAAAATAAAAAGAAATGTAAGTGGCAGCTTTGTTGCACCAAAACTAGAAACTCCCACCACTTTTGGTCCATCAACCCATTGATTAAAAACTTGCTGTTTGACTAAATGTACTGGGGTTTATTAAAATCAGCACAAATAGGAACTAATCTTGCAACTTGTTAGTCTTCTCATACTATCAAAATGGACTCCAATACATATCTTTTTTTAGGAGTAGTAGTTCTTAGCAGAAAATAATCAATAACCAACAGCTAAAACACTTACAATAAACTACATCCTGCATCATTTCTGCTCCATAAATGCATCAACTAGCAGCTTCTCTTTCCTTTCATGCACTTTTTGAGTGGAATTAAACTTACTCAGTCATGTTGTAGCGGCAGAAGAGACTGCAATATTGGCAAATCAGACCTCAAAGGAAAACTGGAAGTCGGTATGGGCAAAAAAAAAAAAAAAAAAAAAAAAAAAAAGAAACAATCTGTGCATCTCTGTGACAAACTGATCTGACAAGATGACAAAGATGAGGAAGAGTGTGAGGTGCTATTGCACGGTAGCGATGGTTTGTAGCAGGAAAATGATTTGTCTGCAGATAAGACTCAAAGTTAAACTGTCAGATTAGGTTTATTGATCCAAATAAATGCAAAAAAAAAAAAAAAAAAAACAAAGAAAAAAAAACAGATATTAGATGGGGGGAAAAAAACGACATATATATTTGTATAATTAGATATTTTTTTGGAAGAAAGGCTGATACTGTCCAGCAGAATCCAATTCACAGAGTATGACTTGTTTAAGTAATTAATTCTCTCTCCCATTAAACCCCTCAACTCACCCCCACACACACAAAAAAACAAGCATAAACACAAACCATGATTTGAGCAATAAAAAAAGCAGAGAGAAAAAAAAAATCACCTCAATAAAAATTAACCATTAACTAAATGATTACATGGATGCTAATAAAAGCAAATCTGATTTCAAGTATTTCCTTTCAGACAAAATACAGATAAGCTATGGCAGTATAAAATAAGAAACATCTCATACATGACCAGCATGCATGCATCACTGCAATCCCCCCTCTCCCCACTCATTCTCATTTGTTGTTGTTGTTTTGTTTTTTAAACTATTATTTCAGTCATTGCATTTGGGATGGGGATGAATTTCGTCGTTGTTTTTTAAATGACTAACTCACATTAAATACTCTGGTGAGGAAGGGTTGTCGCTGGTGGAGCCGGTTTCGTGGTAGCAGTTCGCACCGGACAGTTTCTCGCATTTAAGTTTGTACGCGTCCCTCTCCCGGACCAGCCTGCTCAGTTCGTGCTTCAGCTGTTCCACCTGCGTCACCAGGCTCGTCTTCTCGTGCTCCAGGATGTGCTTCTGCTGCACGCGCTTGAAGCGGCACGACTGCGCGTAGCCTCTGTTCTTCAGGGTCCGGCGCTTCTGCTTCAGCCGCATCACCTCCTCCTTGCTCAGGCCCCGCAGCAGCCGGTTGAGCTCCCTGACGGACATGGAGACCAGCTGCTCGTCCGAGAAGTGCATCTCCGCGTTGGACCGCCGGTCGTGGCGGCCGTGCTGCGGCTGCTGGAGCTGGTGATGAGCCCCGAGGACCTGCTGAGCCTCCGGCGACTCCGGGGACTCGCTCCCCATTTCGTCTTTCAGATAGGGGTCTTGGCAGTGACTGCCCGGGATGCCCTGCATGTCGGGGTGACCCGGGAGGCCCGGGTAGTGCTGGACGGGGTCGCTCAGGTGGCCGTAGCCGTCGTAGTCCGGCTGGTAGGACTGCGGGTGGTGGCCGTGGGGCGCAGACGGGTGTCCCTGCTGCGTCGTGGCCCCTATTAGGGCCTCCATCGCGTCCTCGGGCGTCAGGCCGAAGGCTTGGGGGTACATCTGATGAGGGTACCCGCCGTTGTTGTTTGGTATCCAGAACTGGTCGCTCCCGGGGTTGGTTCTCTGCTCGTTCGGGTTGACGTTTGGCGACGAGGGGACCGAGTTGCAAGGCGTGCTGCCCGGGGTGGAGGAGACGGAGTCCGGTCTCTGCAGCTGGCCGCACGGCCCGATGAAGGAGCGGTCCAGGCTCTGCATGGTCTCCTTCTTGACGCCAAACTTCATGAAGTCAAAGTCGTTGGCGAAATCCATGGGGAGTATTCTGCAGACCCCCCACCCTACTACCACCACTCCAACTTAGGATGTGATATAGAACAAGGTGGCCTCGTCACGCAGCTCCAAGCGGCCACATATATTTCATTCAGTGAGAGGAGAAAAAAAAGGGCCTCACTTGCAAAAAAGAAAAAGGGAAAGTACCTCCAAACTTTAAAATCAAGTATTAAAAAAAAGAAAAAAAAAAAGGAGAAAAAAAAGTATCTTCCACACCTAATGAGCGCTGCCTGCCCGGGAGGAGGAACCCCCAATCTGAGAGTTGTGAGGACTCCTGAACGCTGGACGCACCTCTGTGAGCTCAGGAGAAGCGCACTTTCTTCATAAAGCTGAACTGACACGAAGTCACGCCTTCCAGACTACACCTCCACGCTGCTCTCCAATGGAAACATGCTGAACAGGCTGATTTGCATAAAAGCTATTCCGTGTCTCCCCCTCCTGCCGTCCACGGGAGAAGCTTTTTTTAAAACAAAACACCAGTATGAAAGATTGTTGTTCTACCCATTTTAATTTAGATTTGCTCCTGACTCATAGTGGTGTGTGCTGTCAAACTGAATTTTTAGAAATCAGCGGGGCATTATTAATCCCTTGTCACTAAATAAATCTAATCTAGATTGGGTCTGAAATATCGTATTTTTACATTACTTATTTTATTTTTTGGCTATTTATTTATCATAAAATAAACAAATAAAAATAAATGATGATAGACAAAAAGAGGGCAGAGAGTCAGGTCATTTAAAACAACACTGGTTTATGTTGTCTTCCGAGTTGTACTTTTGTGAATACTGACATCTAGTGGATAAAAGATCACACTGCAGGTGCAAGATGAGGGATTCCCCAAACTTAAAACTGTGACGTGCCAAGGACCACGTTCAGTGCAGCCTGTCTGCTTTTTGCATCAACAATAAAACAGTGCTGTTTTTAGATCATGTAAAAATAAAAAAAGATACACTACGGCAAACATAATACTGACAAAATAAATGCTGGCAATAAGAATATTGACAATATTTTGCATGTGCCTTCTTAGAAACTTTATTAGCAGTTTAGTTGCAATTACGTTTTGCTGATTTTTTTTTTTTTTTTGAGACAGATTCATAAGGTGGATGAAAAAGGAAATGGTTACAACATTTTTTGACTTTGCACGTTTGTTGTCTTCCAAACCGTTTTCCTGTTTGGAAGACAACAAGCTTGGCCAGGTTGGATAGATAAAGTCCGTGACCATCAGTTTTCAGGTTTTACCACTAATTCTCAATGTATTTTTGGTTTGGACTTTGACTGGGACACTTAATCACACAGACATGTGTTGTTTTAAACCATTTCACTGTAGTTCTGGCTGTACGTTTGGACTGATGCTCCTGTGACCACCAACATGTTCCACAGTGGCAAAGTAATAAAGTGAAGGCATTGTTTTGTGCATAGGTTTTCTAGCCACAAGCTAACTTGCAAACCCAGTCCTTGGTTGGAACTTTGGTTTTTAAAAGACTTTTAATTAATATATTCCCCTCACACACACACACACATACATTGAATTACTGTGACTATTAACAAGAAAAACACGAAAATGCATTTTCGTGAATACTAATTCTCCTCAACAAAGTAGGCAAGACTTCTAACAATTTGCTTCGTGCCAAATTTTCTGTGTTCTTGACTATTAGGCGCCTTGACGTCAAGTTATCACACCTAAGCAATGGATCTTCTTCACCTCCTCCAGAGTTACCATGGAGATCTTGGCCACTTCTCTTATGTAATGTCACCTTGACCAGCCTGTCAGTTTAGGTGGAAGGCTGTGTCTAGGTTGTTTGTGGTTGAGCTGTACTCTCTCCATTGTCAGATGATGGGGATAGTGTTTTCCTTTACACTATCACAGCTTTAAACTTCTCCTCTACATCCGCTCTGGCCTGTCAGCTGTGTTCCTTGGCATTCATGATGCTGTTTGTTCACTAATGTCCTCTAACCAGTCTTTACAGAAAGCCCCAAAAGAGACTAAAAACCTGAGTGATTACACACAAGTGTCAACAGGTATTCCTACTGCAAAGGATCTCAAAGGGTTACGCAGCGTGCCCTGAGATGACCCTCTGTCAATGCTTACTACCAGTGAAAATCTCACTGACAAAACCTAAAGGACTTGAGCCAAAACCAATAGAAATTACTGTAAAAGAATGGCCTGGCATTGTTTTAGCTAGTTTGATTTTCTGGGAATTGAGGAAAAAGAGGAGACAGTGTGACTGAGTAAGGATTTCTCAGGGACACATACCAGGACATGTGCCAAGAGACCCGAGCGATTGTATAAGTTATGGGAAACATAGGACTATAAAAGCCAAACAGCGCATATAGTAATTACCGTGCGTGAAAACATGAAGCCCTCTGAAAATGTATTCCGAGCACGCGAAGCAGCCGCCAATTCCTAATATATCCATCCCCCTTTTGCACATTTTGTCACATTAGAACCACAAAACTTAGTGGAATTTATTGGGATGTTATACAAAAGAACGACACAAAGTGGCACAAAATTGTGAAGGAAAATGATACATGGTTCCTATTTCTTTTCCCAAAAACAATGTGGGATGCATTTATGTTCACACCTCTGTACTATAATACAACCAAATCAAATCTAGTACACCCAACTGCCTTCAAAATCAGTAAATAAAGTCACTTTGGGTCAAATGTCTTCTCAGTATTAGAGCTTTTCCGAGAAGGAACCAAACCTAGCAAGATATTGGCCTAAACTAAAGAGAAGCAACCGAGAGACCCACAGGACACTTATGAGTCTTGCTCTCCACAAATCTGTTCTTTATGGGAAGTCACATTCATAAGAAAGCCATAGAAAGTTATGTTTGCCACATACAGTTGTGGTCAAAAGTGTACATACACTTGTAAAAAATCATAATGTTATGGCTGT